CACATCAATACAACTAAGTGTACACACACACATACACAGGGTGTAACAGCAAAAATGCCTAAATCATGTAAAAGCATAGGATAATTGTCTATCTCACAAAATGTTTAATATCTAAAAAAAACAACAAAAAAACACTAAACTAATTGAGTTCCTTTTTCCTGGGTTTTCAGGTAAGATGCTTAGACATCTTGACACCATTTTTTGTAAGAATCACTGAAAAACTCTTTGAGTTATTGTGTTAGAAAAAGAACAGGTTAAAATCATTTTATGTCAGCCCCACTATATCTTCCCAATTGAGCAATGGTGAGAGGAAAAACATCATTGAAGCTTTCAGTAATGGTATGAAAATTCATCTTCTGTCTTCCATCTTCAAAGTCCATACAAGAACCATCAAGAGAACGGTGAATAAGTTTAAAAAAGAGTGAACAGTAGAGAGGAAAACTGGATCAGGAAGTCACAAGAGCAAGAGGGATGATCATCATTTCAATTTAGAGCAAAATACATTCTTATTGTTCAAATTAGAGTCTAATAGTGTTATAAAAACCTTGGATAATTTCAGTAAAACCATTTCTAAGATACAACAGTTCAAAGGTTAATCTAACAATTGAACAATTTTGATGCTACACAATTTCCAGGATTATTGAATCCTGGTACTTGTCTGACAAAAAGTCAACTTAGTCAACATGTTGCTACAATTAATTTTAGGTTAATTTCTGATTGCTCTTTTTTCTTTAAAGCATTATTCACTTTGTTTTATTTTTAATATTTTTTATGTTTTGTGCTTGAAGTATAAAATTTTCTTTTTCTATACTTTTAGATATATAGATAAATAGAAAGAAAACCCTGCTATTAAACCTGTGCTGACGTGAGGCTATATCCAAACACAGAAAAGACTATGGAAGTAAATCCAGACAGAAAGTATGGTTTGAAGTCCTAAAGGTGGTTGATTGTCAACTCTGATTTCAGGCAAGAAATGCAGCTAAGCCTGGGCCCCAAATGTAATGTCCTGTATTCCTTTGGATCTTGTCAAGTATAGTCATCTAGACTGGGCAGCATAGGGCCTCCACATATCATCAACCAACCCTGCACCCTAGAGAAGTTCCAACAATAGAGGCATCATTTTTAAAGGTTTTTAAAGGTTATAGATCCATGTTCAACAGGAAAAGACATTGCGCATGGTCAGTAGGCCATGAGACATCGTCCAGTGTACATTTCAAGGACATCTGCAAGAGGAGGCTGAAACTCATAGGCAATGACTCTCATAACTCTCACTGTAGTTGGCACTATGCTATTCAGGAAGGAGTTATGAAGGACAAGAAAAAAGCAAAATCAGCAAGTGAAGGAAACAGAGAGAGCAATCACACCCACAGAAGACAGCTAAGCAACTCCAGATGCTCCCCTATCCCACAAAAAAAGGACAGAATTTTGAATTCCAAGACAATAACGCCACTAAAGCACAAGAGTTTACTGAGTGAGAAAGAATGACCAAAAAGAGAAACATTTTAAGGAGTGAGAACAATAGAAGAGTAATCAAGTGGACAGTAGATAACCATTGACATTGCATTTAAATCTTTGAAGCTCAAAGATGGCTGGAATGTATAGAGCTGGAAAAAGAGTTCCACAAGCAAGAAGTGCAAGAAGAGAAACTGTTAGCATAGAACTTACGGTTACATCTAACCAATTCAACTGTAAATTGACGAGAACTTACCACCAATCTCGTACTGCGCTTAAATTCATAAAGTCTTGGTACCATAGCAGAAAGTTCATCAGAACAATTATCATGAAAGTATTTATAGAAAACGCACACAGAAGCTACATTATGACAGTGGGAATGTGACTGAATCTGAGATGCCAAGTAAGGACAAATAATATATCATACAAGATCATATGTGGCAGTAATATTCAAAGTATACTTGAATGGTAGACTTATAGATATGTAAGATAGATTTTGGAGAGAAAAATTGTCTAGCATGACACAGTCAACCAACAGCAGCAGACCTATCCACTGACAAAAATAGTTTTAAAGTATACTATATTTACGGGTAAAAGTGCTAAAAGGGATAGAGTATATATAAATATGAAAAAGGATACTGAAGTCAACACTGAGAAGTGACAGTCTGTTTTATGCTTGAACACAAACTTAAGGCCATGAAGATTGTGTTCAAGCATTTAACGAACTGCTGGTGTTGACCTCAATGTCCACTTTTACATATATATATATAATAATAATAATATATAACGATAATTATAACCCAAAATTATATAATATAAAGGTTATATATGAATTATATATCATGTGCATTGCCATTAATTTACACAACTGCATGCCACAAACCTTTTGCAAAAAATTATTTTAAAAAGATAAAATGGCAGGAATCCAAATGTATTTCAATTTTATTTGAAATAATTTAAAAATAATGTTTGCTTGATCCCAGTACACCCAGTTTTATGAATATCCTACCCTTAAAAATAGATAAATACATTTTAAAAAGAAATAAAGGAATAATCTTAAACTAGCAAACACCCTTACCCAACCAATTATATTGATGAAAATATCAATACATCTTGAAAACAGTACTTATCAGTAATTTCATTTTTCTTATAGAGAGCCTCATTTCCCCAGCAATTGAACTGAAATGTTGCGTCAAGGACTGTGAAACATCACCACCCCACCCAATCCAATTTGGATTTGGGGTTCGGTGACCTCAACCTTTGAAGTTATTAAGGGTTCCAATGTTGAGTTCAAATTCCCTATTGTTTCATTCTGCTTTTTATTTTGTTTTTTTCAAAACGAGTTTTCATTTCTGTTTATAACATGCAAACTGTATATTTTTATAAGAGGCAAGTTAAAATTTGTAAATGTCGTCTTTTTATTTTTTTTTAATCATTTCACCCAAGGCAAGGCAATAAAGCCACTAAGGCGCAAAGGATTACAGAGTGAGAAAGAATATGAGAAAAAGAAAACATTATTAAGGAGAGAGAACAATAAAAGAACAGGAATTAAAAGACAGAAGATAATGATTTCATTATTTGGAAATATAGAAGAAGAAAGAAAAAATGAGACAGTGGAAGAGAGAGTTGGTAGGTAAATAGAGTAAGAGGGAGTTTAGAAAAGAGAAGAAAAGAGAGAAGCACAAAGATGATGAGAAAAAAAGAGAATGTAAAAAAAAAGAGTAGAGGAAAGAGATGGAAAGGGGTTTGAATTATAGAAGAATAAAGAGATGAAGAAAGAAACAATGAGAAAGAGAGAAAGTGAAATAGAAAGAAAGACAGACAGAAAGAAAGAATGAAAGAAAGCAAAATAGAAGTAAAGAAAAAGAGAATGGATAGATAAAAGGAGAGGGAAGGAGTCTGAAATATAAGAGAATAAAGATATGTCCCCTTTTTGGAAATTTGCACCTTGTTTTCATTTTGTCCTCCACACTGGTGTGATTAATATTTACTTTTCAGTAATGTAATTCTTGGATTACACAGGTTAGTAAAATAAAATGCTGAAAACTGAAGATTCAGAAAGTAGGATGTAATTGTTTTGTTTCTTTATTGTATCCTGTACATTTTCAGGTCACCTTTGCTTGGTAAGGATAGCAGCCTATATTTGTATCCATGCCAACATTCTATTATATAGCAAAACCTGCTCAAAATGCAGCTGCATCAAGACCTGGTTAATAGGTTTTTAAGAAGCCAGATGACAAAGCGAATATAATAATTCACAATGATAATTCATTTGGAATTTTTGAGAAGACAAAAAGAAAACATTACAACACACATGGAAAAGAAAGAGGCAAAGAGACAGATAAAAGAAACAAATTTCCAAGTCAACACAAAAATTGGTGTTTCTAAAATGCGCGCAATAAACTTACATAAAAGTTAATATGAAATATTAATTGCAGACATTTCCTTCTATCCAATTCCTGGTCTTAGTCTAGTTAGGCCATTTGCGTGTGTGTATATATGTATGTATGTATCTATGTATAATGGTCTTAGCTGTTAAGAGTGTATGTGTGTGTGAATATATATGTATGTATGTATGATGGCCTTAGCTGCTAAGAGTGAGTGTGTGTGTGTGTGTATACATATATATATAAATGTAGGTATGTATGTATGTATGATGGCCTTCGCTGTTAAGAGTACATATATATATATAAAATAAATTATATATATACACACATATATATATATGTATGTATATATGTATGGATGTATGTATGTCCATCATGTAGTTTCAAGAGCATGAATCTAGCAGTGCAAATGAATATATATATATATATATATATATATATATATATATATTTGTCACATATATACATATTACACACACACACACACACACACAGAGGAAATGGATTAAATCCTACATATTATTATTTTTTAATGTTTAAACAAAATAAATTAGAAATAACCATATATATATATATATATATATATATACACACACACACACACAAAACATACATACATACTTCACACACACACATTCCATATATACTTCTCACACACAAACACATGTATAAATGTAAATAGATAATTTTGTGTTCTTGCATTGTGTGCAATAAAACTGTTTTATAATCATATTACAAACTTAATGTTGTATGTATTAATTGTACATATACACACACGTGCACAACCCTGTGCATGTGTGTGCACATGTACATATGTATGTGCGTGTATCCATTAATACCTGCATCCGAGAGAAGAACCCGAATGGCCAGAATATCAAACAGGATTACAAAAACGAAAAACAGCAAACGTGTGGACAATGGGGAAAGATGACAACGCCAACACTGCATTTAAAATATAGGGATTCAGATTAACCGATTATCCAGACACAATGAACAGATACAAATGTGGCACTCCCTGGAATTTTGTGGCTTTTTTTTTTTGTTAATGCCTTGCCTCCCCACTTACTCCCCCCACACTGCCATGTAACAGCAGAAGTCAAGACAGCAAGCAAATTCTCACAGAATATTAATGTCTCTGACGCGATTGGGAGAAAGGAGAGATTAGCAATAATTAATCCCAATCCAGAATAATAGCAAGTGAGGAATGCCAACCAAGTTTGATGAACTAATAAGAAAGAAAAGTAAAATATTATTTATGTTGGAGGCAATGGAAGATGTGGGTGGGGGGAGAGAGAGAAAGGGATAGGGTAAGAGACGAGGGAGGTGGGGTTTTGGAAATATAGTAAAAGAAGAAAAGAATGGGACAGTGAGAGAAAGAGAAAGAGGGAGTTTGGAAATAGAAAGAAAGGAGAGAAGGACAAAGAGACAATGAGAAAAAAGAGAAAGAGTAGATAAAAAGGGATGAGAAGGCATTTTAATTATAGAAGAAGAAAGAGACAATGAGAAAGAGAGACAGTGAAATATATTTAAAGTGTGAAAGAAAGAAAGAAAGAAAGAAAGAAAGAAAGAAAGATAAAAAGGAGAGAGAAGAGGTTTGAAATATAGGAGAATGAAGAGATGAAGAAAGAGATGATAAGAAAGAGTAAAATAGAAAGAAAGTATTAAAGAAAGAAAGAAAGTGAAATAGAAAGAAAATGAATAGATAAAAGAAAAACAAGTTTGAATTAAAAAAGAAAGAGAAAAGAAATCAGTGAATAAGAGGAAAGGTGTGAAAGAGAGAGAGAAAGAAAAACTGAAACAGAAGGGGAGAGAAAGTGGATATATAAAAAAAGAGGGAAAGAGTTTTAAATATTGGAGAAGAAAAAACAATGAGAAAGAGATAGACAATGAGACAAAAGAAAGAAAGAAAGAAAGAAAGAAAGAAAGAAAGAAAAGGCAAAAGAGGGTTTGGATAAAAAATGGAGAGAAGGAGTTTGAAGAGATGAATAAAGAGAGGGACAAAGAATGTGAAAAAAGAGAATAAGAAAGGAAAAGAGAAAAAAAAACAGAGAGGTAAAAAGGAAGGGAGTTTGAAAGATAAGGGAAGAGAGTGAGAAAGATCAACAATAACATAGTTAAGGATCTTTCTTTATAGGCAGAAATTTATTTATCACTTTTCATTTTAATAATTCAAACTAAAAATAAAAACAAAGTAGGTAATTAAAAATAGAAAATCTGCTTCTGAATTCTGTCTGATGTCCGCTGGGGAATGTTGAAGACACGTTGGCTTCAAATTATGGCAGGACAAATGAAAATATCAAACAAAAAAAAAATTACAGATATCTTCTGTATATTTGGAAATTTAAATCTTTTTCAAATATACCCAATTCCAAATTTAAAAAAAAAGGTTTTCTTAAAAATGGTTATCTCCATATAATCCAGAGTTTTCTAGAGGTTTTAATTCAGATGGCATTTTGTTCTAAAGATCAGGCAAAGGGTGTAAAAAAAGTACTGATGATGACAGTATATTGTCAGAAGCACTTTAAAAAGAGAACTATTGTTCAACCAAAATTCTGAGAAAATTTTAGAAAGCCATCTAAGAACATGAACAAAAAAAAAGAAAGAAAGAAAAACGGGGTTGGGGTTGCAGAGGGGGTGGGCACCATAATCCAGAAATGTTGTTCTATTACATTTTAATGAAACATGCACATTCATCCATGTTTAAGATTTCAAATTGCAAAAACTATTTTTATTTTTGACAGAAGCAATCATGAGGGGGGGGGTAAATATTATAAGCTTTTAAAGTTGCTTAAAGCACTATGACTTCATTTTTGATATTACCTAAAAAAAGTACAAAAAACATTAAAAAAAGCTGACTCATTCTTTTTACAAAAATCTCACATTATATATATATATATATATATATATATATATATATATATATATATATATGTCTGTATGTATGAGAGAAAGAGAGACAGAGAGAGAGAGAGGCGAGGTGAATACATACTCTCTTCAGATGCACAAATACTTCAGTGCACAGTATAGCATTCTATGTATAGGAACACATTCCATAACTCTTAAGGGACTTTCATTTTGATTGCAATGACTAAACTGATAAAAATTACTAGTCAATTAAAATGGAGTCAGCAGGTTCAAATCCTTTCTAATTCTAATGTTTAAATTTATATATGCATATATATTATTGTGCATATGTGTGCATACATGTCCATGTATAGGAATGTGGTGTGTGTGTGCATGTGAGAGAGAGAGAGAGAGAGAGAGAGAGAGAGAGAGAGAGAGAGAGAGAGAGAGAGACTATGCAGATATATGACCGAATATTGAAATAAAATACTGGTGAATTTACAGTAGTTTTATTTAATTATCAAATCTGCAGTTTTTTGTTTTTTTAAGTTTTTCTTTAAAAATCTGTATTGTAAATTAATCTTGTTTAAAATGTTTTATAGTGTTAATAATATTTTCAACTTTGTATACCAAAGAGCAAACAGATAAAATATGGTATATAGATATTTTCTAAAAGCTTCAGAAATAAAACACTAGTAATGAGTCATTTTTGAACATCAAAAGACAGGCTAGATCCCTGCCAAACCATAGTACGCTCCATGTCATTGTGTGTTGAAATATATATATATATATATATATATATATATATATATATATATATATATATATATATATATTTCAAAAGTTATTTTTACTCGATATCTGTATTTGAGTAGACATTCCATTTTTCAAATAGTGTTTATTTTGTCTACTGTTCTGCACACATGAGAAAACTTAACAAAGACAATATGCCTTCTGGTAGGATTCAAAATTGTGTCCCCTTTTGCAGGAGAAACCACTGGTGTACTTTAACTGCTCAGCTACAGAGAGCTTCACACTCCAACAAAGTTCTACTTGTCTTTAATGAACATTCATGTGTTCAGATTTTCTAAACAAAGCAATTTCTAAAGAATTTCCACAAGATCGGTCTATTCAACTTTTTATTATATCTTTACAAATTGGTGTTGTACATCAAGACTAAAATTATAAATAAATTGTCTGAAGTTCATATGTTTTTCTGTTACCTTCAAGTACTTTCGAATTTTTCAATTCTAGCAAAAACATCAGAATTTAGTCAAATAGATCTTGCTTACTACGATAACACCCAATTCTTGATAATGACTGTGATAGCCATAAGTGTTTGAATACAACAGAAAAAAACATGAACTTTGGAGAATTTATTCATGACTTCAATCCCAATATACAAAACCTAATTCAAGAATTGGAAAAATATAAAAGTTAAAGCCGAGTTAGAATTCTGGTTGAGTACATTCAGTCCGTTATGTGCTGTGCATGATACATGCTTAGGCAATCATGTTTTTCAATACATGACTGATGAGGTAGATTTTTTCCCACAATAGGTTTCCATTTTTTTCTATGGTAGACCAAGGCATTATCCATTATTCTGTTGTGCCTCCTGAGCACATTACAATCACTTAAGCTCAAATACCCTTGGGAAAAGAATGAATCTATCTCTTCAACTCTGCCTAGCTATAAGTTGGACTTGGCACTTTAGCCTTGGTTATCAACCAGTCTAGTAAAAGGACAAGTCTGAATTCAAAGCCTGATGGGGATTGTCTGGAGACATGGTGGTACCCTATGTGCACCAGTTGTCTGTATTCAGTTCTTTCAAAAAGTCTGGCTGGTTCTACACAAGTATTATTAATGGTGTATAAGTTACTAGAAGCTATATGTACTTTCAGTTCTTGAATATGATGTGTACATTATGGCTGTATTCATAGCTGACAAAACCTCAACATAAAAAAAAAAAAACTAAAAGAAACAACACTTAACATCATCAACTATAAACAAAGCCACAATATACAAGCTGCATTTGACAATGAAAAATATGTATACCTTCCAGTAACTTACTATTTATATTTTTAATCATTTCACCCTAAGTAAGGCAATAGAGCCACTACGATGCAAGGGGTTACTGAGTGTGAGAGAATATGAGAAAAAGAAAAAAACATTAAGGCGAGAGAACAATAAAAGAATAGGAATTAAGAGGACAAAAATTAACAATTGACATTACATTTAAGTTTTTTCAAAATTGACTGGAAAGTAAAAAAAGGCCAGAAAAGCATTCCACAAGTAAAAACTGCAAAGGAAGAAACTGTTAGCACAGAATTTATGGTTAGCCATTTCAAGTATAAAATAATGGGACCTAACTGCCAATCTTGTACTGTACTTAATTTTGTAATGTCTAAGTACCAAGGAGGAGAGCTTTTCAGAACAATTACCATTTATAGAAAAGGTACAGGCAAGCTACATTATAGCAGTGGGAAAGTGACTCAAGCTGAGATGTCAGGTCAAGATCAATAACATTGCCATTTTCTTTGGCTTTTATCAAGAATCTCTAAATATATAGCAGGCACACCAGACGAGATGTGGCAGCAATATTCAATGCATGGATAAACGGTTAACTTATAAATGTATAAGATAGATTCTAACGTGAAAAATTCACTAGCATAACACAATGAACCAACTTTCCTAGCAGCAGACTGATTCAATTGTTCCACTTCATGTCAGAGAAAAATGTTAGACTGAGAAAATTGCAATGAGTTACTCTCCTGGAAGTCAGTATCAGCCATGCTGATGGAAAGCAAGAAAGGTTCTCTAAAACAATTATAAGAGAGAAGTTTCATTTTGGAGGTATTAAAATTAACAAGCCATTTCTTGCCCCAGTTAACATATTGGAGGTCATTTTATAAATCAGCTGTCAATTTGGCCTTTATCAAACTGATTAGACATCAACAACAACACTTACATACTAAATTCCTGAAAATGGTTGATAGATTAGTAATTGAACAAGCTAGTTGAGAAATGGAAAAAAAACTTAACACACCATTGAAAAATCTGGTAATAAATTTATTTCAGCAGGTAAGTTTTTAATACCTGCCTCTTCAGACCAAAATTACAAAATTAAAAGACTTACTTGGAATATCGCTTCCACTTATAGATTTTATATTTTATATATATATATATATATATATATATATATAAAGAGAAAGAAAGATATAATGGCTAGCTGTTAATTTTTGAGTGCATCCATCTACGAGTTTGGCTAACTAATCTCTGTTGCAGATGCCTGGTAAGGCAATTTTGGGTTTCTTCAATAGCCACAGGCCTAACAAGCACCTACACTGTGCAAACATTAGTTACAGTTTCTGTATGAGAATGCATAATCTGGCAGTAGTTAAACAATGCCATTATACTCAAGCTCTTGATCACAATGACAATCGTAGAACAATCATTAACAGCTCTTGAATAGTTTTGCCTGCCGAATTTCACTCACAAGGTTTACATCAACTCATGGCATGGTTTTTAGATACTTTCTGACAGTGCCACATGTTAGGATCATTTCCCACCATTGATAAAATAAAGAAGCTGCCTCCTGATAAATCAACCATGGTGAGATTTGAATCTGGATATCACGGCCAGAATGCAAACCTTCTTACCACTCAGCTATGCATGTACCCATATAATGTGCATTAAGACAGCAATCTTACATTGATAGAAATTTGATTGAATTTTATTCTGTTTTATGTCTGGTCAATTTGAGTACAAGGGTAACCATGTAACCTAATACTGTCTGCTGTATGGTGAGATTATTGGGGAGTGAACTGGTTCCCGCACCAGTGTTATGTACAGGTGGTTCAATGGATAGCAGATCAGAATGAGAAATCAGAGAACCAAATTGAAATTCCTCAGATACATTACATTCACTTACATACAAATATCCTCGGGAAATATATGATTCCCCCAGCTATGGGTTAAATAGTAAGTCTTGTATCTGGAAAAATCATTGTTATTCTCAAAATAATTGTAAAGAAAAAAAAAAGAAAGAATTTATTCTTACAATCCCAAAATATGTTTTAGCTTTGAATAACTCAGAAAAGTTTGATAAGCCGTAAAAGAACAAATTACTCCAATAAAAAACCCGCCAGGTTTGTCTGGTAAGGAGGGTGGCTAGACACCCAAAATGATTAAAAACAAGATCTGTCAAAGGTCAGATGAACCTTCTTGTAGGGTCAAGGGTCAATGTCCACCTAGCACAATGGGGTAGACTTTGTTTATTAGCTATGTATGCAGACAGTGTAATGATGACATAGGTTTCCTAGACTGAAGTCAGCATTCAGAGTGGAGGATTCTCCGCCTAGATGGAATCAATGGCCACAACAGAAAAAAAATCAAAAGAAAAGAAAAGAAAGAAAAAAATTAAGAGAAAGCAAAGAAAGTAAAAATAGAGAAAAAGAAAAATTCAGAAAAGAAAGAAAAAAATCGAAAGGAAAAAAAAATAAAGAAAAAGAAGAGAAAAATAAAAAAAGAAAAACTTTAAAAAGAAAGAAAAATCATAAGAAAACAAACAAAAAAAAATCAAAAGGAAGAAAAGAAGCAAAAAAATAAGGAAAAAGAAAAAGAAAGAAAAAATAAAGAAAAGAAAGAAAAAGAAATCAAAAATAAAGAGAAAGAAAAGTAATTAAAAAAAGAAAAGGAAAAGACCCTCAACCCTGAAACAACTTGATTAAAAATGATAACTAAATGGATTCAATGTTGTTCTTTGTTTTACTTTTTCTGGCGGACCAGTTCTATAACCAAGAGATTTCAAGAAAGTTTTTAAAAATTAAAAACAAATAAAAATAAACAGGGTTTATTTATTTTTAATATGATGCTAATCTTCAAAATAAAAAGAATTTTGTCAATTAAACTGAAAAGACTAAATAAATTATTTAAGGAAAAAAATGTAATCATCATTAAAAATAAATTTAAAAAAAAATGAAATTTTAAAAAATATTTTCTGGTGCACTGTGTACTATACTTTACACTTGGTTTTTGTTTATACTGTTCTTCAAGAGTGTGTTATCAAGTACTAAAATAGGCAAGTGAGCCTCATGCACAAAGTATCTGAACAGGGAATAAGGTAGAAACAAACATGAAAATCATCAGTCCTCACCATGCCAGTGAATGCAGGACACTCTCTACAGGAGGATACTGAGAATACCATGTGCTGAACATGTGAGCAATGAAGAAGTTTTAAGGAAAATGGAAGCAAAAAGGACACTTATACTTGAAACTCTGAGGGCACATAATGAGGAAAAAGGACTTAGAAAGTTTAACACTCACAGGACATGCAGAAGGCAAGACAGATAGAAGAACAAAACACATAATCTACCTAACAAACAAGTGTAAATAGTTGTGAGAACAGTGTTTACCAACAGACAAAACTTACTAAAAAGAGCTACAAGGGACTGGAAATTGTGGAGAGCCATAACCCATGTCCTGAAAAGAGTACTTAGCTGCTATATACTATAGGCCCTTCTATATGGTAGTGAATGCTAGACAATCTCCTCAGATAAAGAGACCTGAGGTGACAGAAATGTGGTCCTGATGCTGAGAATACCATAGACTGAACATGTGAGCAGCAGGAAAGTTTTAGAGAAAATGGAAGCAAAAAGGACACTTATATGTAGCAACAGAAAGAGATAGTTAAAATTTCTAGGATGCATCAAGAGGAAAGAGGGCTTAGAAAACCTGATACTCACAGGACATGTTGAAGACAAAAGGGACAGGAAATCATGGAGAGCCATGATTGCACACATCCTGAAGGGACCAAGCATATAGAAGAATGTGAGCCCAAAATTTGAAATAAAAGACAAAAAAAGTTGTAAAAATTCTTAGAGTATTCTCTATATAAGATAACTTGCCTAAACCTTATGCTATCAACAGTCCAATTCATTTAAAAAATTCTGCATATATGTGTGTGTGTGTGTGTGTATATCCAGTGGTCTTTTGAACAGGAGTAGAGGTTTATTTATTGTTTCCTGTTAAGGATTGGGTTTACGGTTCCCTCTAAAAAGTAATTTTCTTTCATTATTTGTGACCCACTTGTGTCTTAATGGCATTATCACCTTGTTTGAGAACCCTCTACTTCGAGTGGCTCTTGGGCATTGTACAGGGTAAGCATCATTGTAATATAGTGTGCGTACATAAACATATATAAACTGTGTGCCATTTCGTCATAGCTGTAAAAAATGTAATAAAAAGACCTTGCTGCTCGATTTCAATAAAACACACATATATATATATATATATATATATATATATATATATATATATATACACACACACACACACACACATATACACACACACATATATACACACACACACATATGTATGTATGTATGTACGTACATACGTACGCGCACATTCATTTATGAGATAAAAGGGAAGAGAACGAGAGAAGTTGAGGAGATGGGTGAGTGAGATATACAGAGAGAAAGAGTGAGAGGGAAAGTGACGGCTTTAAATTTAAAGAGAGAATGAAAGCAAGAAAGAGAAATGCAAGAGTTGGGTGAATTAGACTTCTTTCAAATAGCAATTATTGTTAAATATTAAAACACACACAAATTCATTTTCCTTCTGAAGCTGTCCTGCTTTCTTTGAAAGAAATATACCAATTTTTTTTAATGCCAGAGAATCAGTAGGAAATTATAAGAGAATGAATTTCGTATGTTATTTGAAAATAAATGAAATAAAAACAAATTTATTTACATCATCAAAAACAAGGATAAAAAAAAAAGGAAAAGCAACCAGGCAACTACAAAATCCAGTTGAAGACTACAAAATGACTTTTTTTTTTTTTTTTTGATAGAGAAATAATTTGATTTGAAAATCTAAGATTCCAATGTTTGTATAGTGGTTTATTTTTTCTGGCATTTTTTCTATTTTATTTTTTACTTTGTTTTTGTTTTTTTAACTATAGGGGAAACCTTGAAAAAGTGAACTTGGATTTGAAACAGATTAAACAAAATCAATCTGTCTGACTGATAAAAAAATAAGATTACAAAAGTTTCATTAACAATATGTCTAATTTCTTTGAAATTAAATTTTTGAACAAAGAATGAAAACAATAACAGCAGAGAGCCACAACAAACAAAGAAGGAAAGAAAAAGAATAAATAAATCAAAGTTTCAAATATACAAGAAACTGGAAAACAAGGAGGAATCAAATCATGTGTAGTAAATTGTCATGATTTTTTAATAATGGCTGAAAGTGAAATTGAAAATGTATTTCGTTTTTTTTTTTTATTTCAGTTCTTTTTGTCTTTTTTTTATTTAGGTTTTTGTATTTTAAGCGGGACTAGTATTATTCACAAAAATATTACATCAGTTAAGCTTCTTTTTTTCTTTTTTTAAATTCTTTTCATGTTTTAAAAATCTTTTCATTTTTTTTTAGCTTCGTTTAATCTACAAACTTAATAATAAAACACCAATATTTTATAGATTTTAAAATAATGCCTTATCGTTAGTTACCGGGGTTTACCCGCTCTAATAAGCTAAGAATAACTCAATTTGAATGTTTTAAAAACACATTCCTGTTTGGTTTATGAGTTTAATTTCTACAATTTTCAATCTGCGTGTGAGAAATAAGATTGCTTTCACAAGAAAGAAAGAACGTCTCATATTTTAAATAAAATCTTAATCTCAAAATATTTTTTTTATAAAATAATCACTATTCTTTTTGCATATTATGAGTGCGTGGCCGAGTTTTTAGAACATGAGACCCAGGTTCAAAAAATCTCACCACGGTCGAAGAAGGTGACTTAATAGCCTGGGAGAGACGACCCCAGCATGCAGCAACGTTAGGAAGTGCATGACTGAAAAGTGAAAATCATATCACGATTTGAACCAAGTTTAGTTTTGACAATGTTTAACTGTAAAACAGTAAAATATTGTACTCAGTCGATAGTTATGCTAGCATAAAGTCACAAGTCACCGTGACCGAGAATTTGAGTGTACTGGCCTTGTTCAACTACTGATCATACCACCAGACCAGATTATGAACTCTCTACCAGAAACGGCATTTTTAAGAAGGTCTGCGCAGCATAGTTGCTGTAAACCACAAGTTGGCTCTGTGGGTGTTGAAGAAACATAAACATGCATGAGCAGGTGTCTGCAACGGGGATTAGCTAGCCACCCTCGCAGACGAGAACACTCAGAAACAAGCAGCCGTTTTCGAACTTAAGTTTGTTATTGATTTTTTTTTTAATGCGATTGTCCTTCAAGACATAGGCGATCATGACACTTTAACTTTTTTATTCTTTTTCTTTCTCTGTGAATAGCCATGATAGTTCTTGGGAAAGTGGAATGGTTTCTTGATGACTTCTGCCCAGTTTTGAATTCGTAACCGCCCTCCTCCTAGACTGGCTTCTACCCAAAATTGCGTCGTCTGTCCCTTTATTTGACCCAGAGGTGGGTTTGTGATCAAAGAGGTCGATTCAGTACCTTTCCCAAGAGGCATTACGAATTGAACTCAAAAGAACAAACCGTAATTTGTACTCAGTTCGCCATTCCACTTTACCGCACAACTCGTGGCCTTTCTTCTCCCTTCTATGTGCTGTGTCTCTTGAGGAGGATGTTCATGATCATGGCTCTCCACTATTTCCTGTCCTTTGTAGTTGTGAATAATTTTTGTTTTTGTTATCTTCCCATAACCCTGTTCTGCCATCCATACTCGAGCTCACTAGGTCGGTTATGCGTTGTTTTACTCTCTTCCATTTGCCTTTAGTCTGTCCTGTAAGTATAAATTTTCCAAGCCCTCTTTCCTCATTATGTGACCTAGAAATTTCAACTATCTTTTCCTGGTGTTAGTGACCAGTCTTAGTAAAATAACGCTAACTAAAGTAACTCTAACTTCAATTTGGGCATAATAAAACACTTAACAATCATAGAAAAAACCGAAAACGCCATATTTTCGTTTAAAAACATATTTTTAATAAGACATGTCATATTTTGATTTAGTAAGCAAAAAAAAAAAATTATATTTAATTCATAGTAATATAAAATAATATTTAATAAACTATATTTTAGCATTTCAAACCCATATGAATTAATTAATGATAAAATATTTTTAATTAAAACTAAGACTTTCATTTGATTATTAAGCAGCTTCCTTAAAGAAACGAAAACATTATTTATCTTATTTAAAATATATCTATTTTTAAATGAAAAATATTACATATTTTTCTATATTTTTTTTCCGGCACAATGTTCAAACATTTTTTTTCTATCTTAATAAAGTGCACCTTATGACTTTTTCTTCCAATACGTTTTCCAGTTTCCTACATTCATATTTTAGAGGGGACATTATCAGCATAAAGAACGGTTTTTATTTATAATACAATAAATAAATAAATAATGTTCAAATTCTAATACCTAAATTTATCAGTAAAATAAATAAAATCATTTAAATAAAAGATGATGAGTTTTCCTTTTTTAGGCTTGCACGTGTTGCGATAAATTTATTTCAATATTCATGTGTTGCTTTCTGTTGAGGAAGAATTTTGATCTTTAATTTCTCTGCTACAAACTTGAAATTTGTTATCAATATAGCCCTAAAAAACAAAAGTTTTTTTTTTTATTTCCTGTAGTGTAAACAAAACATAGCTTCATTTGATTAACAAAACTTAAAAATTATTCAATTATTCTTAAGTTAGCAGACAACAAATACATTTCTAATTTAAATTTCAGCTACAAAACGAAATTCTTGCAAATACTTTCTTAGATTGATTATTTTTTTTATAACTTTACTTATAACAAAATAAAGCGCTAACAATATTTGCAAACAAAAACTAATTTCTTAAAAGTTTAAACATACAATAGATGAATAGGACTTTAAATTTTAAGGTCTTTTTGGCAATATTTTTATTGTTTTATTTATTGAAAAGTAATATCCCGTTAAAAATAAATTCTGTGAATAACAATTAGGGAAAGAAAAGCAAAAAACAATTATCGATTTAAATAAAAGAATCTATTTGACATATTTAGTATCGATGGCATTTAATCGTTTTTTTTTCCCCAATTGTGTTAAGTAGCTAATTAAACATTAGTTGTTGTTATTGATTGATTATTGAATTAAAACAGGTTTTAAGTTTTATTGATAAAAACTGTAAAAGAAAAAAGTGGTGGGACGAATGATTTGAATTTGATAAAAAAAAAAAGCAAATATACGAATTCTTCAGGTTATATCGGGCCCAAAAATTTGATTGTTTTTTTATGCTAAAATAAATACTTAATTTAAGTTAAATTAAGTTAAGGTCATAAAAAGGAAACTATCTGAAATAAAGTGATTTTTTTTATATATATTTTTAAGACCTATCATTAAATGTAATGGCTTTCCTTTATTATCCATAAAGAAAGAAAAAGAAAGAGAGAAAGAAAGAACGAATGTACAAAAACGAAAGAGAAAGAAAGAATGGACAGAAGAAAGAAAGAAAAAAGTGGACAAAAAAGAAAGAAAGAATTGACGAAAGAAAGAAAAAAAGAGTGGACAAAAAAGAAAGAACATCAAGGAAAGAAAATGAACGAAAGAAAGAAAATGAACGAAAGAAAAAGAAAGAAAGGAAAAAAGAAAGAAAGGAAAAAAGAAAGAAAGGAAAAAAGAAAGAAAGGAAAAAGAAAGAAAGGAAAAAGATAGAAAAATTACACAATGCCATATTGTTGAAATTATTCTGATCGCAACTGAAAAGAAAAATACGGTTAATTCCGATATTGGTCATTGATTTAAAATTGAAATAATCAAATTAAATTTATTTTAATACCAGATTTTTTTTCTTTTTTATAAATAAATCATTTTTATTGCTAAAAATATAAATTAGTAATTCACAACGCAATTTACAAAGTTAAAACTTTTACAATCAAGTTACTTTTCTCGTTAAATTGTAATCACCATTTAAAGAGAAATATGTCAGCGAAAAATTATCCCCAAATCAATAATCTTTTCTTATTTACCGTGTATGTGATTGTATATGTATGTATGGTCTGATGATCGCTTAAGGCGTAACACTAATTACTATGCCGTGTTGATTTCTATGGTCACATAACTGCATTGGACATAATTAGTAGAGGGAGAAGTGATTTACAGTAAAAATTTGATCAAAAATAAAATATTTTTGTAAGAAAATATACTTATTTATTTTCTTTCTTTGAGCTTTCAGTGAATTTAACCTTAAATTATTTGAAGTTTTTAAGGGGGGTTTATTTATTTTAAAATGTAATTTGAAAAAATGCTATTTTAGTTTGTGTCCGTTTTTATGGAAATACCCAAGAAATTTTCTTATTTTTTCGTCCTTATAAAAAAGACTTTAATTTTCAATACAGGAGCAGAATAAGATGAAAAATTTTAGTTGGGGCTGAATTTTTTTTATACGAGTAGGAAAACTCAAATCTCCAAACCTTATGAAAACCCTAAAACCTATGGTTATTTATTAAATCGTTAAAAACAAAAAATAAAAATAAACATTTTTTTTCTTTTTAAGCTTCCATAAAATGAATCCCAATATTTGCATACAGGTGAATATAAAATCAGTTTCAAAATTATATATTTATATTGTAAATTATTCAATGTCATAACGTTGGGCGCAAAATCAGGGGCCATTTTGACGTTAAGTAATTAAAAATTAAAATTTCGTTCGCTTTCACTTTGAAACTTAAACTATTCCCGCGAAAATGAATGAGTTAAAAAAAAAAAAAAATAGAAAAAAGTCATTTATATAAAAAAAAGCAAAACTACAATTATTTTCGTGTAAAAAAAAACCGAAAATTTACTGAAACTATTAATTAATAATTATTTTTTAGTTTAAACATTGTTTTATATATTTTTAAGACTATTAAACTTCACAGAAAAATGTTAATAAAAATTTTCCAATTAAAAAATAATCAATGTTTTTACTTAATATTTTAAAAAACTTCAAAATCCCTGTGAACAAAATTAAAATATTTCCCACCTTTTTCAGTTTTAAAATAAATGTACAATTATTTTGGCTACAAAAATGCAACTAGAAAATTAAATGTTATGTTAACTAAAAAAATGTTTTAATTTTCATTAAAAACATTTTGCATATAAAATAAATCCTGTACAAATGAATAAAAAATTTTTTTTTATTTCTAAACTAATGGTTAAATTTTTTAAAAGATTATTTAACATTTCAATGAAATATTTATCTAGTTAGAGAGAATGAAATATATATAAATTTAAAAATACTTCTTTCAAAAATGTCTCTTCAAAGTACCTTTTATTTTCTCTCTGTCTGAATTTTGACAGAAGAGGCAAAAATGTGAAAAAAATAATTAAAAAACATGGACAAATTTAAATAGAAAGTTAAAAACTTACCAAAATCCTGATGACGTTTTTTAAAGCATAAACTTTTAAATACCATAAACAATATTTTGGCTAAATCAATTCAAATGAAAAATTAATATCATCAACTTGGTAAACTGTGAGATTTTTAAAGGGTTTCTCTTAGAAAGGTGAATTAGCAAGTTCAGTCAAAAAAAACAAACATAATAATAATAATGGTGAGGTCATCATTTTGGCACCCTGAAGATGAAAAATAAAAAAAAAGTTGAAAATAACAGAAATTACTCCGTTTTCTTTAGAGATCAATCTTATAATTAATTTGACCAAAATTTACATCATTAACTAGGAAGAGATTTTCAAAGATCTTTTTGGATGGAAGTGATTTTTTTTTTTTGCCTGTCAACGAAGAAGACGAAAAGACTTCTCGACGTTGTTGCAATAACTAACAGCAATTCCCAAGCTAGATAACCCCTAACGACAAATTGAGGCCCTTATTTGATTGATCCTCGCATTTTTTTTTCGTTTTTTGTTTTTTAACGTAAATTTAACAAATAAGACGAAAGCCAATAATTGAAGGGATTCAAAATTTTGAATGTTAATTTATCTGCAACTCCTTTTCCCTTCCACATGATCAAGAAGAAGAAGAAGAAGCAGAAGAAGAAGAAGACTTTCTTTCTCACTTTCATTTTTTTTTCTAATAGAAAAATCTTGAAATTAAGATTTGATTGTGATATTCATATTTATAAATTTTAAAAGAATGCGATTTAACTTTCAGTTGCTTTTTATTTCATCAAGTCGCGAAATAGTTTTTTAATTAAAGAATTTCGTGTGAAAATTTATACTGAATTTTACAAACCTTTTATGTTTTTGACAGAACTTCAATAAGACACGAATCAATGAACAATTAGCTAACCACAATTTAGTTAAATTAGTTGTTTAACTTTTTAATTTGATACTTTTTCTTAAATTTTCAGTTGACATTTTTAAAATAGTAACAAGTTAAAAATAGCAGATTTATAAATTAGTAAACTTTAAATTAAATTAATTTTTATTATTACTTGTTTTAATTCCGATTTAATTTCCAAATGTTAACTTTTCAGGCAAGTGTTATTTTCTTACTTAAAGCATTCTTTGAGAAACAAGTTTTTTTTTTTTTTTTATTGTTTTAGTGTTTTCTTATGCACAAGAAAATGAAGTTTTAATTTTACCAAGATTGGTAAATAACATCAGGAAAAGATAGTTGAAATTTCTAGGTCACATGGGGAAAGAAGACTTGGAAAATTTGATACTCACAGGACAGATTGAACTTAATTGGATACGACTCTGGCATAAAACTGCACGTGATTCCGAATAAGAGATTAATTAATCAGCTAATGAATTAACTAATTTTATTTTTTTTTAACGAAGAGAAAAAAATATGAGCAAGAGATTAAAATATGCTAGATTTGGCCTGTTGCATTTTTTTTATCATACATGAGTGTGAATACCTTTGTTTTGATGAGTGATGAAGGGGTGAAGACCTTTCTTTTCTTTTCTTTTACCGTTTTTCGTCCTGAATTTAAGACTTGTCAATTGGCAAATCATTCATAAAAAATCTTAGTTTCTGAAAGTTTTAAATTGTTATTCGCAATGTACATAATAAAAGACATTACGAATGATAATGAAACCTTTTTTTAAGGACATGAAATTTACCAATATTTTTTTTACCTGACCAAAATTAGTTTTTTGAAACATTCATGTTTTATAATTAAATAAAATAAAAAGAAAGAAATATTTAATTTAATCTTTCACACAGTCTATTAAAAATATTCACTTAGAAAATAAAATTACTACCCAATGTCGTTTTATTGTTAGACGGAGAAAATAAGTTCGTTTTTTTTAGTATTTATGTGGTACTCAGACAAAATTTTCCTTAATTTTGTAATTCTGGTTTTTAGCTATGACTAAGAATAATCAACAGAATAGGGTAATTATTTTAGAATGCCAAAATTTATGCTGTGAGAATAATTTTTACAATTAAATTTCATTAAATTGCAAATACTATCTCATAGACAAAAACTAAAGTAATTATGGCTTTCTATTGTTTTAAAGATGCCTTATTAAAAAAAAAAGCTTCAGCTCGTGTCTGTTTTATTTTAACACCCCAAAGGCCCTTAAGGGGTAAAAAAAATCTTGCTTGAAAACTTAAAAGTATATCATTGAATAAATACAAAAAAGTAGGTAAAAATAAAAATTTATGTATCAAAAACTAATTAAATTAATCCAGTGTATCTATTTCCTAAACGTAGCTGAAAAAAACGTAGTATGAAAAAAATTACCAATGGCGTGAATGTTGAAATTAAAATTTTATTGTTTCCTAAGCAAAATTTCTTTTCCATATAAATTTATTGATAAAGCTTACATTTTATTAATTTGGTAAAACACGTGAGACACCTAGAGAGGATTTTATTTCACCTGATCTTCCCACTAAAGCAGTACGTGACACAAGTTTTTCTTTTTTATGTAGGGAGCTCATGCCCACGTGGACCAAAGATTAAAACAGCCACCTTGTGAAATGAATCAAGGATGAACCATGGCATCACTGCTTCACGTAGTTGTTATTTAATAAGTTTTTCTTCTTTTCTTAATCTTTGGGGTGGGGGTGGGGATTTATTTGTATTTAATTTATTGATATTCTTATTTTTTCTATTTTTTCTTTTTTTTTTTTTTAGATTTATTTGGGAAAATCTTACCACCTCTTTTTTCGCAAAATAAAAGAAATTGGACAAGAAGGCTGATTCGCAATAAGAAGAAGGCTAAGAAAAAGAAAAGAAAAAGGAAAAAAAACCACTGGTTGATTGGTTGTCTCAACTCTTCGATTAAAATTCTTTGATCAGCTGGAGAAGTCGCTAACAAAGGTAAGCGATCTTTTTTGGAATTCATTGAACCACTTTAGTTAGTTGATTTTTGTTTTTGTCTTTTGGTTTTTGAGTACAAAAAGCTTTTAAAATGCGATTTAATGACGATTCAAACAAAATTGTTGTTTTCAGACAAAATTTTAAAAAATAACGAACTTACATTTTTTTTCCAAGACAAAATAAAAATCAGAATATTTTTAGGACATTTTTTGTCCTAAAAGAAAATAAACTTTTAAATTCAAATTAAATAAAACAGCAAAAATAAATTACTGATTGAATTCTGCGAATTTAATGAATTTGAGGAAAAATAAAAAATAAAAAAAATGTATATTTTTAAAGATCGTAAAATTTTTGTTTCATTTTTGGTTTTTACCTGAAATTATAAACGTAAAAGTAAAACTGTATAAAAATGTACAGAAAATTTGTATATTGTTAAGTTTAGCATTTCAAAAGATTTCTT